TGGAATGGAGTTCCACTTGAACTCTCCAAGTTAGTGGCGTTTCCCTTTGCTCTGAAATCATTAAAAATATTCAACATGGCCTATTAATCTCATGAAGATCTGTCATTGCTCAGTTTACTTACTTTCTTAATGTGTCTGGCACATTGAAATTGATTAAAATGTTTACTCAATACCCAACTGTCATCAATGACAAGCTTTCACAAGCATTACAATATGTAATCAAATCTATTACCATGTCAATAATCTCATTCAGACACCCACCTTATACTTGTGGAAGCCTGCACTTCTCTTTAGTGGACAGTTACGCTGAACATGGCCTAATTTATGGCAGCCAAAGCACCTGAAATTGCTAAGGTCCCTGCTCTCCAAATCTCTACTCCTGGGGACATGTTCAGGATGTCTAAAATATGAAGTTCACAAAAAATGTGAGGGATATCACATGCACAAACCCAGCACTATGAGAAATTTCTCAGAAGAGTTTGGTGTACAGCAGTGCATTCTCACATGCCTAAAGGCAAGTTTACACTGAAGATATGTCAACTTTCCTTGGTGCAACCTCTCTCTTCTGGAAGCATGGTTAAAATAAATTTAGCACAGCAGATGTACTGCTTTTTCCCTCCTCCCAACTTGTGTCCAATTATGAAGCAAAGAAGGATTACACTTGCTACCTATACGTCACAAAAATACTAAGTTTGCAGAGAACGGCCTCCCTCAAAAAGGTCTACCTATATTCAATGTAAATGCACCTTAGATCATTTGAAAAATGTGTTATACAAACAAACAAATCAAATTTCTATTACCAATTTTGATTCAAAATCCATAATTACCCAGGCATCAAAGCGCGAGGTCCTAAGTCACTCGTTACAGATGATGGCGAGGAATTCAAATCAAATGGGAAGGAAGGCATGTTATCCTCATCCCACACACTGTCATCATATCCGTCTCCCCCATCTTGCTGATGATCACCCTGCCCTCTGGTGGTGTTATGCAGGTTCCTGTCTCGATGCCAGTTAGCAGGGGGTGTGGTGTAGCACCTGTCTGGCATATCTTGATACTGATCTCCGTGCGCGGGGTTTCCCTCTCGTGCCTGTGTAACCACGCCACCTCTAATGTCAGATGGGAACCGCTCTGTGTTCTGTTGAGGTGGACTGCGATGTGCTGAGCCTTCATCCCCCCTGTAGATCTGAGGCGGTGATCTAAATCTAGGTGCACCAGACTCACGAGAATCATGAGCTGATAACTGCAGTTGCTGCATGCGGAGTCCCTGCTCTAGGAGAGTGGGGAAATTATGTTGCATGTTATGGTTCATATTTGGAGGAGGCAGGTGAAAAGGCAATCTGGTCAGGTGTGCCCCAGGATGGAGAGGGCCAGGGTGAGGTCCTAGGTGTGGTCCAGGGAAATGTCCACCAGGTGGTGCATGTGGTCCTGTCTGTTCCGCAGGGATAAAAGGCGCTGCCCCTGCATCCAGCCAAGCAGACGCATGCAGGTTTTGCTGTCCTGCACCCAGCAATGGCCTTGGTTCTCTCTCTGTGTACAGCATCATGTCTAGAGTTGAAAAAAGATACGAACGTTTAAAATAGCCAATAAAGAACAATGACATAAAATAAAGAATTATTGCAGTCCATCTATAATATCATTTTACACACAAATTGTTCCGCCTTTTGGCTTTCACTAGGACTTCCACAACTTCTGAACTAGTCTCTTTGCCAGCATCTATACAGTTATTTTTATCTGTATTATTATCTGTATTTTTAACTGAATAAAATCAATTTATTTTTTAAGAATTCAGCAAAGTGGCACAAGCTTTTCACTAACAGTATTTCATAACAGAAAAAAATAGCTTCTTTATCAAGGAATCTTACTGTTCTGCTGGTGAGGCACTTCTACTCCATTTGTGGAGTCTGGACTTGTATGGTTTTCCTGGACATTCGAAAGCTCTAACAAAAATAAATGAATGAAGTTACAGACTACACTACTCACTGTTGCCACATTACTTTAAAATGGTCAATTTCTGAAGCTTAACTTTGTCAAAATATTCCTTTTTCTCTAAGGCAAAAACTAGCAACTATGTATCATACATGGGTAGAAACACATCTCTCTTACCTGCATCATAAAGCTGCTGCGTGATGTCTACATGACCACTGTAAAGTTGAACATAAGTCTGGATATTTGGCACGACTTTTGTCTGGAAAATAGGTAAGTAAACTTGTTGGTTTTGAAAGGCCACAAATACCTCAGACATACTGCACATACATCAAATCTAAGTAAAAATGTTATTTGCTGTTAAAAAAGATATTCATAAAAAAAAAAAAATGTTTTTATCAATTCTCTTTTTTGTGACTCTACAACTATGACTCTTTAATGTACTTACCACAAAGGCAGAAAGTTCACTCCCTTCAACTAAAGCTTTAAACGTATCTCTCGCCTGATGAGAGAAAACCGGGCATTCCTCTTTGGATATGCTGCACTTTACAGACTGAAATGATCCAACAGTTACATATCTGAAACAACTCTGTGTCACAACATGAAACAAAATGGCACATTAACTGGTCTAAGTTAATTTCTATTACGTAGGCCAACAACTAACTTTTGCTGCTTTTACTGACCCATGTTAAAAAAAAAGGCATAAAACAAAAATGAACCAAATCTACATTTACATGTTTTTGTTGAAAAAATTTTGAAGTAAATTTTGAGTCTATATATGCTGGGAAGCTATCTACCTGAGGAGCCAGCAGGCTGTATGTATCTGTAAGCAGTCTGATAGTTTCCCTGTTGATGAGTTCAACCTGGCCCTCATCATCTACCAGCTGTATTTGTACGTAGCCCTGGGGACCAGATAATAATAATAATAATAATAATGATATCAATGTCATGGATCACATTAAGTTATTGGGCAGAAGTAAATTACATATTTAACTGTAAAGTAAATGATATTTTACTACCAAATTTTTTTCATTTTAAAAGGGAAGGTGTGAGGGTGTGAGTAAAGAAGGGTGAGTAAAGACCCCAACAACACCTGTACCCTCATCCCTTCTCCATCCCCAAGAATGACGACTTGATAGACACCAAATAGGGACGTGCAAATAACTCTTATCTTAACTGTTACTTTGAAGACACTATCAAAGAACCTGAATAAAATCAGGAAAATCTAGAGTGTCTGCTCACCTGTCCAACATCGTGGTCTTTCATCATCCCCCTCTGCCACCTGTCTTCATACTGCACCGCAACCAACTGTCCCATAGACACATTGTCACATACTGGCTGGCTCTGCTCTGCATGAGAACTGAAATCAAAGCAGCACAGTTAGAGCTAAAATAGAAGCTGAGTGAAAAGAATTGGTGTGGCAGACATGGAGTGATGCAGGCACAGCAGCGAAAGATAGAGGAAGATGACAGAGGATGCTGACAAGCCTTATGAGCCAACCATGGCTCGAGAGGAATAACTAGTAAGAATATTCCAGAGACAGTGAGAGAGAGAGAGAACAAAAACAACAAACCACAACATAATCAAGCCACCAATTAAATATAAATAAAATAGATAAACTAAACAGAAAATAGGAAACTCTTGAGAAAAAATTTTGAAGGGCAATTCATCACAGTCATTAACTTACAAATTCTTAAATCAACAGGAAAGTAAATTTTGTGTCATCACAGAAAGTCAAATCTTTTGGGAGGCTAATAAGTTTCTAACATCATGATAATGATTTTAAGGAAACTGGAGCTCTTACCTCATGTCCTCCAGGAACCTATCATACTCTTCCCTTATTTCCTGGTTATAAATGAGAGACACTTGGAATGTGCCGTCTACACACAGGGGGCTGGTTACCCGCAGTTTAAAAGTAGCATCTGAAAATATGTGGAATTTTTGTTGACAAGTCAAAAGCTAACGAAAGTGTGTGTGTGTGCACACACACACAAACACACACTCACCTGCAAGTTTGTTTTGTCTCCTCTATTTCAGTTAAACTCTATTTGTAGTATTAGTATAAAGACTAACTTATAAACATGTACATGTACTTGTAAACACCACATGGCAAAGAATCAGATTCTTATCAAGATTCATTTTCTGTATTTATTAGCTAGAAAAGAATCATTAAAGAGATCTATCCCATATATACAAAAATTTCATCAACCAGTAAATACAATGGAATGAGGGTTGCAATCAGTGATCACTCAGCTTACCTTTCACCATTTGAATGTTTTGAAGTTTTGGATAATTTTCTGATGTTGCAGCCATCTTGTCTGTTTGTGAGAAGGCTTTATCCACAAAGGCCCCATTATGAGAATTGCTTTCACCTATGTCCAGCTGTTTTTCCTCCTCTTCCTCTATGTTGATCATGTGAGATTCTTGTACATCTGGTTCATCAGAAACTGTAGATATTGGTGGCCTTTCTGCTACATCCACAGGTAATGCAGGAGATACTTCTTCTTCATCAAAGTTTGATACATGTAAGTCAGATACTGGAGGCTCAGCATCTTCTGCTTTTTCAGACAAATCAGATGCACACTGAGAAAGTTCTTGTTCTTTTGCACTTTCAGAGGGCGGAGTAATATTCTCTGCATCCTGTGTGGCAGCATTTTGAATTGCAGTATTGTCATCGCTGTTAGATTCAATAGAAGCCAGCATTGGCATAGAGTCCACCTCCTCTGACTGACATTGTTCAATGCTAGTATTGGAGGGCTCAGCATCTACATCATCGTCTTTTACAGCATCTGCTGACCCATTCACAGTGTGACGTATACTTACAATACCATCTGCCTCGTCTTCTTTCTTTTCTAGCAGACGAATATCTCGGCACATGATTCCTTCACTTTTCACCTGCTTGTTCTCCTCAACTGAAAAANTGAAAAAAGTGAAAAAACAGCATAAATTCCCTAAGAGTGACCCGATCATGCTGATTTTCGAACTTGACCTGCGTATTATGAATATTCATCAGTTCTGCAAGTTTCAAATCAAAAGGCAAAATGGTTTTCCACTTATCGTGTTATCGGTAAAAGTGCACGGCGACGGCGACGGCGACGACAGACGCAGATGATGGCTATATGTACAGACACATCTGTGTCTGTACATAAAAAAAAATCATTTTTCAATATTTTTTCTTTCCATATAACTAGTGAGGAAAAAGGCTTTAAGTCTTGAAAGACAGATTAACCTCTGTATACATTGGTCAAATTGTTTAACTGGTATGTCCATGGTTCTATCATAATTGGCATGTCCAGTCTGACATAATTGACACATCCATGTTTGCCTTAAATCCATTGTTTCAACATGAAAATAATCTCAAACATAATTAGTAAAATTCATTGTTTTTAGTAATTTAATACTTCATAACAGTGAGCTTCATTTCTCAAGTTCACTTCGTATCTTTCCCTGATAATTTATTATAATCACAATACAAACAATCCATTTTAAAATCAGGGAAATCAATTTTTATGATTTTTTTTAAGGGAAATTTATTTTCTTTCAAGGAAAGTAATATACCTAATCCCTTATCCCGCAGGAAAAAAATAGGGTTTTCTGAACATTTTATTATTTGGGCTAAATGGGAGGACACACCGTGCAATATAATATAACCTATTTCACCTGTCTATACGTACTTTTCTTTAGAATTGCTTCATTTATGCTGGTTTCTTCTCCATTTAAGTATAGATTAACCACCCACACATCTGAATGGTCAGCTGTCACCTGTTTAAACAAAAAAGCGAATAATAATAATAATAATAAATAATAAAATTTAAATACAAAACATGGGCCAATTTTGCTACAAAAAGACATAAATGTCCAATTATTGCATATTGTGCTGTAACTATTAAGAAATTTCAGGCCAAATGCTCTGACCATAAACAATTGTGAACATTACAAATATTCATAGATACATAACAATTGTGCTGTGCCATGGCATTTTAAAACAAAATTAATCAACTTTCTAACATATGCAGCACCTTGTTCCATATGGAAACTGATGTTATTGTACCTATTGGATTCTGTGCTGCATTTGTCTTCAACGTATGAATAAAATCCACTTACAAGCAAAGTCTTGGATCATAACGGTTATCAGAGTTCCGTACCTTTTCCTTGATCTGACATCCAAGTTGCTCTCCTTTGACCCTGTCTCCGAAATACCACCTTGCATCAGTCGGGAGTTGTTCCTGTTCTTCGCTTGGAGAAAAGAGACAACATTCCAAGGCCTAAAAATCACAATATGGAATCATATTAATGGAGTTAGAAGTAAAATTAGATTCGCCATTCATATGTCAAAAAGCAACACATGGATATATAAATAAATATATAAATATATTGAATTGTATTGTATTGTATACAGTTGTAGTTCACCTGTATGGGAGATCATGCTTTGTCCTGAAGTTGAAAACTTAAAAACAGAAATGATGGATGATGGTAACAAACATTAACCCTTTTTCTTCATCCACCATAATGTGCAGCGCAAAATAATTTTTGTATTTCTCTAGTGTGTGCCCTAAATGATCCCTGAGATGACCAAATAAAAACATGACAATACTATTCTGAGAGATTTATTTTTCCATAATGTTCAGTTGGTGTTGTTTAAAAATTTTGGCAAACAAATCAACTCTTAGCAGTTAAAACAGGGAAATAAAGCCACCACACATTAATTACTGAAAGGATGATAAATGTCATTACACACTGATAATATCCATTGTTTAAACCATTGCTGTATCAGTTAAATGCTCTGATCCACTAATGCCTATCAACATTTGAATACTCCTTCAACAGATGTGTCAGACATCATCATGTGCTATCATTATGCACAGCAACTAGACAGAAAACCTCGGTGAGTTTTTTCAAAAGATCATTTGATTTGTTGACAAATATTAAAATGTAAGACAAATTAAAGTCATTAAAGGTCAAAGGTTTTCTAAAACAGAAAGGATACATATACTTATGAAATTTATCATATCAACTTATATCCATGTCAAAGGAGCCCATTTTAAAAATAATACGCAAACAGAAAGTAATTTTCCATGGTTAAAAATAAAGTGGAAATGGCAGTTTTTTTAACTGGAGACAGGACTGTCTCATACTTTAAAGTAAAAAAAAAAGTATTTTTGTATTAGGGCACTGTAAAACATAACATCTCTAGTAAATATTAATATTGAATAGAAGAATACTCTAAAATTAAACTTCTTGTAAGTAAATATTGATCAGTTTGAAGACAATACAGTTTTCCACTTTGTGTTCTCTTTATTGCATATCTGCTCAAAAAAAAAAAAAAAAAAAAAAATTACATGTAGAAAAATGGTCTGAGCAAGCTCACTTTAAAACTGACCTTTATTTTATGAATATTCATAAGTTCTGAAAGTTTGAAGACACAAGCAGGGGATGGCTATATGTACAGACACATTCGTGTCTGCAAATAAAAAAAATTAGATGTGGGCGTCATTCTCTTTCGTCAGTCTGATGTCTGTAATGCATCAAGTACCCAATTATTTCATTTGCTCCAAATGAAATCATCAAATTTTACTTATTTTTCTTGCAACCTTTGATCAAATATAAGGTTTCTGTCATTGATAACCATACACCATATCCAGATAATTTCTCCCAATATTTTACTTCCTAATTCTCTATTACTTCCTTGACAATTTAAATTTGAAATTTTCCACATTGTAGGTTGTTTTATTTTATGCATTCATAAGAAACATCAGAGCATAGCCACATTTGACTTCTAAAATTTCTGCTGGTTAAACCCTTTTATCAAAACATTCACACTGCACAATGTTGGTTTTTGTTCTCTTTGTTTTGGTGGGGTTTTCCCCAAATTGTTTGCCCAATGATTTTGGCAATTGAAAATACGTTGAAACCATACTTTTAGGTACAAGAATGCAGGATCCCTTTAGAAATTGACCTTTAATTCACTTACACTAGTAAATTTCAACTAAAAGTGAAACAAAGAATAAAAGGAATAATAGAAAAGTGCATGAATTTCACCACAAAATGTGCAAAAGATTTGAAGAAATATTTCAATATAACTGGCTCTAAATAAAAGAACTGCATTTTTATCATTTAAAACCTCCCAATAATTAATTAGGAAATTAATTAAGCTTAAAAGTAAATTAAAAGCAGGGGCCACAGTTTGGCAGCAGACAGTTTAATAATGCATGCAACATACCACAAAGAATATAATTGCTATAACTAATATCAAGTTATATGATGAATCTCAAATCTGAAGTTATTTCTTCTTTATTACAAAACTAAAACTCATACTTAACTACCAAAGAAGAAAAAATACATCCGAGCAATTATGGGTTTTGAAGAGCAAGTGGTAGATATGGAAGACATGGGCAAATACTGGAGACCAGACTCAATTCATATACACACTTAAATAATAAGATAGCCTTACTGTAACTTTAAAATAATAAAAAAAAGTAATTTAAAAAAACACTACAGATAAATGAAGTACCAGTCTTTCAGTATTCTTATGTTTTATAAGGGGAAAAAAGTACTTCCCTCTCACTAGGAAGGTTGAAGAAAGTTGTGATAATGAAGCAGCTTTCAATTATACAAAAAAGTAGACTTTCCAGAACCAGTTAATTTCTTTATCATAGGTAATAAACACTAAATAAATACTTATATGGATAAGACCAGAAAGAGGGATAAAAGGCAGACCAGGAAGTGGATATATATTTGCTTCAGCTTCTTCAAAATTTGATCAGTTCCATAAAAACTCATCTAACGTGCATATAAATTCCAGAATCTCCATAAAAAGTCTTTTTATACACATAGTTCACAAAACCTCGCATTCCTTCAATATATTCTTCCATTTAAGGATATTCATATTTTTAAAATCATTTGTTGTTAAAGTAAATAAAACTGACCTACCAAACACGTCCACCTGTTGGAACTGCCCACCCCTTACATATAATAAAATGGATGTAGGGAATGTTACCAAACAGATGGTGAGACCGTGACAGGCAGGTACACTGGTATGCAAAACAGGTATGTACTGTTGAAAAAATATCTTGTAGATAAATTTGTTTTTGCATAAAAAAATTTACTTTTTAAATTAAAATTTACCACATTAGGTACATAATGCATGTCAACAGTATCCCAAACTGCATTTTCATGCTTAATTTTTCCTTTGCCAAAAAGCTTTCATTTAGATGAGTAAAAATTTTATTTACAACTTTGCCATATACATCCTATCTAAAATAAAGCTGAAAGAGTTATCTAAATTCCTGTTACTAACTCTATTTTCACTATTGTTCTCTGCATAAAGGTATTTGAATTATATAAATTCTTCATGGGAAAAATACAAACGAGACAAAATTGATTTTGTAACACTTGATTAAGTAAGTATGATTATTTCTTTCCAATGAGAAATCAGGTTTTGAGTCAGTAAAATGAAATTTTAAAATCTCAGATTAATGTTGCAATTGGTTATATTCTATTCATTTAAGTAAAGGGAGTAAAATCCTGTTTTTAAAATATTAATTTTTGCAAATGCCAGAATACATGCTTTTTTATAGGCTACAATGGGGAAGTCATGGAGTAAGCACAAAATGTGCCCCACAGTGATGACAGCCATAGCTGCAGATGACACCAATACAGTTTCCACTTACATCCAAACAGCTAAACAGCAACAATGCCTGACCCCTGACTTCTGGCGCCATCTCCTGCTCACTGCTGTGCGCGAAAAATCAATCAACATTGTTAAAATGGTACTTAAAGATGAAGACGG